CATGATTTGGGCGCTGCCTACTTCTCCAACTTCAATTTATACCACTCGTCTTTGCTCTTAGGACCCTTTAACAACTATAATCTAAATTCCTTGTGGGTAGGAATGTGACTTTCTTGTCCACTTTTTGATCTCCAGCGCCAAGCACAATGTATAACACTCAATAGGTATTCAAATATTTCTGTGAAGTCATAATGGACTTAATTTACAGTTTTAGTAGGGTTTAAAAGATGTAATGTCTAGCACTGTACTTGGCACATAACAGTATGGGGTTTTCCTTCTGTGTATCACTTGAAGGGCTGTCATTTAAATGTGGGTAGAACCTCAGTATGTTCTGCTCCAGAAACTAGTAGGAGAAACTCAGAGAAGGAAAAACATTAATTCATCATTAAAAATGCCCTAACAAATAGCTGCACATATGGGAGGGGCTGCTTTGAGAGATGAACATTCCCATTCTGCTTTAATCAGCTATCTATTCTTTGTCAGAAAAACTCTAAAAAAAACAAAAACAAAAACAAAAAAAATCTGGCTGGGTGCAGTGGCTCACGCTTGTAATCCCAACACGTTGAGAGCTGAGGCAGGTGGATCACAAGGTCAGGAGTTTGAGACCAGCCTGGGCAACACAGTGAAACCCCGTCTCTACTAAAATACAAAAAATCAGCCAGGCATGGAGGCGTGCACCTGTAATCCCAGCTACTTGGGAGGCTGAGGCAGGAGAATCGCTTTAACCTGGGAGGCGGAGGTTGCAGTGAGCTGAGATTGTGCCATTGCACTCCAGCCTGGGTGACAGAGCAAGACTCTGTCTTCAATAATAATAATAATAATACATCTGTGGAATGTTCTTCTGAAAGCCTTTCTAGGACTGAAATTCTTATAAAAGTCTCTTTTCAGAGCATTGTACAGAAGTATACTGAGTCTTGTCCCTTTCATAGTCACTTTATCAGTACAAAATGTTTGATGTTTTTTCTTATTAAAGACAGAGTCTTGATCTGTCACCCAAGCTGAAGTGCAGTGGTGCAATCTCAGCTCACTGCAACCTCTGCCTTCTGGGTTCAAGCACTTCTCATGCCTCAGCCTCCCAAGTAGCTGGGATTACAGACACCCACTACTGTGCCTGGCTAATTTTTGTATTTTGAGCAGAGACAGTGTTTCAACATGTTGGCCAGGCTGGTCTCAAACTTCTGGCCTCAGGTGATCTACCTGCCTCAGCCTCCCAAAGTGCTAGGATTACAGGCGTGAGTCACCATGCCCAACATATATTGTTTTTGTTTCTGACTCAATTAGTACCTTTATTGACCTTTGTATAAAATGGAGATGCTGAATATGGGACTTCATTGTGAGAAATGAATGGCTACACTGCTTCAAGCTTTTAGGTTGCAGTGAGCCAAGACTGTGCCATGGCACTCTAGCCTGGCAACAGGGTGAGACTCCATCACAAAAGAAAAAGAAAATCAAAACATCTTTTTCAAAGGTCATATTTTATTGGCATGTGTTTTCTCCCATTAACTGCAAACAGAAGCTGCATGGACTATAGGGGGCAATTCTGATACTGAGTGCCTCCTTCCAGAGTTTCCTGGTGGAAGTCATTAATAAGCAATACTATATCCGAGTTGGGCTAGAAAGACAGCACATCTTCCTGGCAGTTTCCGCCCAGATCTGGTTCTATGCCTCCATCTGGGGAAAGATACAGTGACCAAGAACACGAAGTCTCGCCACCTATTTTTTTTCTGAGACAGTCTCCCTCTGTCGTCCAGGCTGGAGTGCAGTGGCACTATCACGGCTCACTGCAATCTCCGCCTCCCGGGTTTGAGCAGTTCTCCTGCCTCAGCCTCCCGAGTAGCTGGGATTACAGGCATGCATCACCATGCCTGGCTTATTTTTGTATTTTTAGTAGAGATGGATTTTCACCATGTTGGCCAGGTTGGTCTTGAACTCCTGACCTCAGGTGATCCACCTGCCTTGGCCTCCCAAAGTGCTGGGATTAGAGGTGTGAGCCATCACAACTGGCTCTGCCATCTATTCTTTAATCTTCTTAAATTTTGGCACATTGCATATACATTAGATAGTAGGTAAGAAATGAGTTGTGTATCTTATGTTTACATTTTGATATTATCTTGTTCTTGACTTTGCTTAATTCCAGATTTCAAAATATCTTGAAACAGCACTTTCATTTGTTTCCTTTTGAGATGGGGTCTCACTCTGTTACCCAGGCTGGAGTGTATTGGCATGATCATGGCTCACTGCAGCTTCAATTGCCTGGGCTCAAGCGATTCTCCCACTTCAGCCTTCTAAGTAGCTGAGACTACAGGTGCAGGCCACCACACCTGGCTAATTTTTATTTTTGTAGAGATAGGTCTCACTATGTTGCCCAGGTTGGTCTTGAACTCCTGGACTCCAGTGATCCTCCTGCCTCGGTGTCCCTATGAGCCACCACACACTGCCAGCACTTCATTTATTTAGTAACTGCTGAAATTTAAAAATTTGTTGTTGAAAACCACCCACATCTCTGTAAACTTTAAAAACATGATTACAAAGTATAGTGCTTAGAAAAGAATCAGGTCTAGACAAGAAGTCTAGGTTCTAGTCTGTATTGGCACCAACAAGGTGTTCTTCAGACTCTGGAGCCATTTCCCTCCTGGGAATATAAGATGTTGATTTTTTTTTTTTTTTTTTTGGATAGGGCTTTGCTTACTTCCCCAGGCTGGAATACACTGGTGTGATCACAGCTCACTACAGCCTTGACTTCCAGGACTCAAGTGAATCTCCCACTTCAGCCTCCTGAGTAGTGGGGACTATAGTGTGTGCCTCCATACCTAATTTTTTGATTTGTAGAAAAAGGGTCTCACTATGTTGCCTAGGCTGGTCTTGAACTCCTAGGCTCAAGTGATCCACCTGCCTCAGCCTCCCAAAGTGCTGGGATTGCAAGTGTGGGCCACTGTGCCCGACTGAACTGTTTTAAGACTATATTTGGATTTTGAAGTCAAATGAAAATGTCTATGAAGCCATGTGTATATATGAAATAAATCAAAGCTATTTATTATGGACAGAGTCCAGGACCTCTGTGGCAATGCTGAAGAACCTCCAGTGCTTTACAGAACATTCTGGAAATTGCTACACTAGATGAGCTCGTCCCGTTCTGACATCACATCACTTTCACAATAACAACCAACAAAGTATACATAAATTTGGACTTGTTGAAATGCATCCAAATTCATCTTTTTTTTTTCTTGGATAATAGCAAAGACGTGAGGAACTACACTGGTCCTTTGTGTTAATGCTTGTACCAGTAAAATATTTAGGTTTTAATCATGGCCTGTTTGGTGTACTTCATTCATTCATTCAACCATGCTAAAAACTGGGGCTATTGAGACAAGTGCTGTCTTCTGCTCTCAAACTCCTAGTCTCCTGGAGAAACAGAGGTAAAAAAGCATCATCCAGTATTACCAGTTAATGGCAGCAGCAGAATCCTGGCACAGTGGGAGCAAATGAATTCTGGGGGAGGAGGGAAGGTAGAGTGATAGGAAAAGATTCACATAAATAGCAATGATATTGACCGAGCACTTAAAATGCATCAGGCAGTGTTCTAAATCTTTTATGTAATCATTTTAGAGATAAGAACATTCAGACAAAGGATGGTTAAATAACCTGCCAAAAGATGTAAGCAAGATTTACAACCAGACCATACAACTTTAGGGCTCCTACTCTTAATCACTATGCCATTCTGCCTTTATATTCGTAGACATGGTAGCATTTTAAGTTGAATCTTGAAGAGGTTCATATAATCAGATGACAGGGTGGAAAAGTCAGCAGAGAGGAGAGGAAGCAGCATGAATGAAAGGGAGCAGAGCTACAAAACAGCATGGCACAATGGGAGTTTGAAGTTGTTAGGCCAGTTGGAACACAGGGTGGAAGAGAGACTATGGGGAGGAAAATAGGTTAGAGGGGCCACGTTTCCCTCCCATTTTGGCAAGATCCCCATCTTTGTCTCTGCAATAACAGACCCAAAATAAGTCTTAGAAAATAGAGTAGATGGAAGAGATGGAATGGATGGATTCCATCTCAGACTGCCATTGATTGATCTGGGACTCTCTCTGATCTTAGGGGATAATGGGTAAATAAAATGTATAAATTCTGCCTGAGGGCTGAAAAATAAAATAGAAATAAAATGTGTGAAAGTTCCTACTGCTGGCTAGATCAATGTTGGCTGAATTTGAATGTGCAGCAGATATGCAAATTGGGATCCTGGATAAAAAGTGTGTATGAAGTACTCTTAAGGAAGGGAAAGGATAAGAACCAGACTGCAAAAACCACTTTAGTTCCTGGGCATGATGAAAGGTTTAAGTGGTAGTCTTATAAAAACTGCAGTGCTCGCTCTTAGAACATATGAGCTGCACAAGATGTCCTTAAATCAGTGTAAAGTAGCTGTGGTTTGTAGTCTCTGCTGCCTGGCCAAACCAGTACCTTAATTACTCCCCTTGGCTTTGTAAGTATTGTCATTGTATTCTTTCAAAGAAAAAAAAATCTGGAACAAAATGTACAGAATGGGGACAGTATACCATCTGCCTGTGTGCAAGCCAAGAGGAAAATGTAGGAGCTGGTAACGATCCACAAGTTTTTTTGTGCATATAAAATGGCATTTCATTTATATTTCCTTAGCACCGGATTCTAATTATGCTTTATATCCTTATAATGGTTAGCACACTAGGCTACAAATAATTATGTGGTTACTCAGACTCCCTGTTTGGCTTGAGCAAGCACAGTAGTCTGAATGATCTCAGACAATTTTAATAGGGAAAGGAGAGATTTTTTTTTTCAGATGTGTTTCAGTGCTGACGAAGGGCCAGTGGCTTCTCGCCATGGTGACAATAATGTTGCTAGGCTGAGCAAGGCCAAATGTGGAAGAATGGTGCTCCAAACAGTTCTACTGAAATGAATGGCTGATGCCGCTGGCAACTTTCTTCAAGTTCTGGTTAATTTCCCATGAAATAACTGGTTGGCACACATCCAAGCAGTTCCTTTATTCACTGTTTCTTTGTCTTGTCAACAGGAGGGTCAATCAATACTGAAACATACAGTTTGAACCAAGCATATGTGATGCCCACTGCACAATACACTGAGGTCAGTAACAAAGGGATGAAGGGGTACTTCAGCTTCCAGGAGGTGAGAGGGAATACAAATTCACAGCCGACTTCCAGAGGTCCCAGGCCAAGCAGGTAGAAAGTTTCCACCCAATTAAAAAGAGGTTTTTCCTTTCTGAAGGAAAAAGGAGAGAAAACTCTGATTTTACGTGAGTCATCCTGGTTTAGCAAACATTTTCCTAGCTAAAGCTTCCCCATCTGCACTATCTTGTTGTCAAATATAGCCAAGGCCAGAGTTAAGAGCACATTAAATTTCACATTTAGGGCCAAGTACGGAGGCTAATGCCTGTAATCCCAGCACTTTGGGAGGCCGAGGCAGGTGGATCACCTGAGGTCAGAAGTTCCAGACCAACCTGGCCAACATGGATAAACCCCATCTCTACTAAAAATACAAAAACTAGCCGAGCAGGGTGGCACAGGCCTGTAGTTCCAGCTACTCTGATGCAGGAGAATCGCTTTAACCTGGGAAGCGGAGGTTGCAGTGAGCCAAGATGGCACCACTGCACTCCAGCCTGAGCAACAGAGTGAAACTCTGTCTCTAAATAAATAAATAAATCAAAATAAAAAATAAGTTTCACATTTAGAAAAAATGATAATGATATACCTTATATTATCTCAACAATCCAAATTTATCCATTCATCTACTATGCTGTTACTTAGCTCAAGCTGCTCAGAGAGGATTAGTTGTGAATTTGAAAGAGGTAAAGGAGTTGAATGCTGTGACAATGGAATAAGAACATGAGAAACAATATGAATTGAAGATTTTAAAAAATTATTTTTTGAGATGGAGTCTTGCTCTGTTGCCCAGGCTGGAGTGCAGTGGTGTGATTTCAGTTCACTGCAACCTCTGCCTCCTAGGTTCAAGCAATTCTTCTGCCTCAGCCTCCCGAGTAGCTGCAATTACAGGCACTTGCCACCATTCCCAACTAATTTTTGTATTTTTTGTAGAGATGAGGTTTTACCATGTTGATTGACCGGGTTGGTCTTGAACTCTTGACCTCAACTGATCTGCCTGCCTCAGCCTCCCAAAGTGCTGGGATTACAGGCATGTGCCACTGCACCCGGCCCAGCATTTTAAAAATATTTTTTATTTTGGTAAAATATATATAACATAAAGTTTGCTATTTGTTTAACCATTTTTAAGTCTACAATTGAATGGTAATATCAATAATGTACGCTCATTGCCACTATCCACCTTCAAAATATTTTCATGACTCCAAATAGAAACTCTGGAACCATTAACAATAACTCCCATTCCCCTGTTCCCTCAACCTCTAATCTACTTTCTTTTTCTACAAATTTGTCTGTTCTAGAATTTCATATCAGTGTAATGATACAAGATTTGTTCTATTATGTCTGGTTACTTTCACTCAGCATGTTTTCAAGATTCATTAATGTAGCATGTATTGGAACTTCATTCCTTTCTTTGGCTGAATAACCCATTATATGTATATATCACATTTTATCACGTATTTGTTGATGGATATTTGCGTTGTTTCCATCTTTTAGCTGCTGAGAATAATGCTGTGATGAATATTGATGTACAAGTACCTGTTGAGTCCCTGTTTTCCATTCTTTTGGGTATACAGCTAGGAGTGGAATTGCTGGGTCATATGGTTGTAACTGCATTTTAACATTGTTAATTACGTAAGTTTTTATGGACACAATCAGATATGAACCATAAGCAAGCTTTAAAAAATTATAGTTAACATTACATACAGTTTAGAAGAGAAAAAATTTCCACCTATAATTCTGTAATAAAATTTGTACATAGCCAAGTGCAATGGCTCATGCCTGTAATCCCAGCACTTTGGGAAGTGTGGTGGGTGGATCACCTGAGGTTGGGAGTTCGAGACCAGCGTGACCAACATAGAGAAACCCATTTCTACTAAAAATAGAAAATTAACCGGGAGCGGTGGTGGTGCACCTGTAATCACACTACTCAAGAGGCTGAGGCTGGAGAATTGCTTGAACCCAGGAGGCAGAAGTTGCAGTGAGTGGATATCGCACCATTGCACCCCAGCCTGGGCGACGAGAGTGAAACTCCATCTCCAAAAAAAAAATCAGCCGCGTGCAACTGGGAGGCCTGTAATCCCAGCTACTCCGGAGGCTGAGGCTGGAGAATCGCTTTAACCCAGAGGGCAAAGGTTGCAGTGAGTGGAGACTGCCACTGCACTCCAGCCTGGGCAACAAGTGCGAAACTATGTCTCAAAAAAAAGAAAAAACCTGTATATAGTATCTTTTAGTTTTTTCCATATGCATCTGTATTTACATGGTTTTATTCATAAAGCATATTTTATATTCAGTTTTTTAGTTTTCATATAAGATTTTAATTTAGGTTGTCCTCAAATACTCCCCCAAACTAAAGATACAAACTACGTTGTCTCACCTGAATGATGGGATTGAGTGATTTCTCCCTCTATTTACCAATTGTTTTGTAATATTGTTATATTACTGTTATAACTTAAAAATAAAATTTGAAAGGCTTATCTGACCATTTAGGGGTAAACATTTCACAAGAGTAAATATAATTTTTTTTCATTACCTGAATAATGTCTTCAGTGAAGAAATACTATATATGGTGAATAGTAACATGAGTAAGATTTTAATGGGAAGTTCTGTTAAAAGAACAGAAAAAAACAAGATAATTTAGCAGATGAGAGAAAGATTTGTGAGGCTTAAAGTAATATAAACACACTGACACAGCTATATACTGCTAATAATGCTTTTTAAGCTTAATTGTGCATTTTTGTGACATCTAGAAATACTGAGAATGAGGAGCAAATGGGAGATTTCATTTAAGAGAAGGAATGATCTCTCTCTTCTTTTTTTTTTTAAGACGGGGTTTCACCATGTTGGTCAGGCTGGTCTTGAACTCCTGACCTCAGGTGATCTGCCCGCCTTGACCTCCAAAGTGCTTGGATTACATGCATGAGCCACCACGCCCAGCCAATCTCTCTCTTTTCAAGATATTTTAAGGTTGTTTGAATCAGATGTATTGATCTCTAGGCCTAGATGAAAAGAGCATGGTAGTCAAATATATCTCTCTCAAAAGAAGCTATTTACCTGGTGCAGTGAAGAGCAGAGGAAACAGGGAATAATGTCCTGTTGTGGTCAGAATCAGAAAAACTGAAGCATCTCCTGCTTTTCCCACAGACAAAAGGCTAAAAATAAAAATTGTTATAATAATTTCTTAAAACAACTGATACTACATTTGCAAATAGCTTAAATAAACTGCATCTCTTATTACTTTAGAACTGGCTTAGGCATAGAAGAACATGCTTTCTGAACAGTGTTTGAGAGATTTTTTTTAAAACAAAACAAAACAAAAAAGAACATGCTGATTTTGCCACAAGTTCAATTTATTTGAGAATATTAATTTTTTAGTAGGAAACTTTAAGCAATCAATAGCATGTGGCAAACTAAATCAGGGGATATCTATAAAAGAATCTTCCTCCTGACTGGGCACAGTGGCTGACACCTATAATCCCAGCACTTTGGGACACCAAGGCAGGCGGATCACCTGAGGTCAGAAGTTCGAGATCAGCCTGGCCAACACGGTAAAATCCCATTTCTGCTAAAAATACAAAAATTAGCTGGGGATGGTTGCAGGCCCTGTAATCTCAGCTACTCAGGAGGTTGAGGCAGGGAGAATCACGTAAACCCAGGAGGCAGAGGTTGCAGTGAGTCGAGATCGCACCTTTGCACTCCAGCCTGGGCAAAAGAGCAAGACTCTGTCTCAAAAAAAAACAAAAAAAGAATCTTGCTTCCCTGAGTAATCGCCTTCTCCAAAGACAGAAACATGGGATTGGGAGCTGCCTAGTGGTGGCAGTCAGGGAAAGAGGACTTAGCATTTCATTTCCAACCCTATAGCTCATCTCTCAGACAATGACCTTCACCTGCTGGTGTTGGTGTGAATTCAGACTACAGACATTAAAAGTTTTTCTTTTATTTTTTAATTTGGAAACTCCAAGCTGCTAAATAAATCTAGACAAGCCACATACAGGCCTGACAAATTTGCTTATGAACTTTCAGAGCTTAAATGATTTCTCAAGATTTAAGGAAAATATCAAGAAAAAAGGCTATTATTACCATTTATCTATCTATTGGGTTTCAACTATGCCTAAAATGGACACTAGTACATTTAAAATGCTTTTTTTTTTTTTTTTTTTTTAGCATGGCATAGTAGAAAGATCATAGATTCAACATTATAAGATTCAGGTCCTAACTCTGCTTCCTGTGAGCTTTTATGACATTGGACAAGTCACAAACACTCTGAGCCCTAAATTCTTCAGATGTTAAGAAAGGAAATAGGCCTGTTTTGGTGGCTCACACCTGTAATCCCAGGGCTTTGGGAGGCTGAGGTAAAAAGACTGCTTGAGCCCAGTGGTTTGAGACCAACCTAGGCAACATGACAACTGTCTATACCAATAAAAAATAAAACAATAAAAAGGGAATAATACCCATTTATCTTTTTTTTTTTTTTTAAACAGGGTCTTGCTCTATTGCCCAGGCTGGAGTACAGTGGCGCCAACTTGGCTCACTGCAACCTTCGCCTCCTAGGTTCAAATGATCTTCATGCCTCAGCCTCCCAAGTCGCTGGGATTATAGGCATGAACCACCATGCCTGGCTAATTTTTGTATGTTTAGTAGAGATGGGATTTTGCCACGTTGGCCAGGCTGGTCTCAAACTCCTGGCCTTAAATGATCCACCGCTTCAGCCTCCCAAAGTGCTGGGACTGTAGATGTGAGGACCATGCCTGGCCAATTATCTTAAAGATTATCGTGAGGCTCAAAAGAAAGAATGCAAAACAAAAACAGTTCTGGAAAATCTGAAAGGTAGTACAATATCAAGTATTATTCCAGAATAGACTAAATCCTCACTTTGACTAACAACACTTAACAAAGAACCATGGGATCTTATTTTCACAGACAGGATGACACTAAAGCCGAGGCTTTTTCTGTAACATACTGCCCCTCAGTGATCAGATCTAAAAGCCTGGTTTCATGATACTTAATCACTACAGTGCTTCTTTCCAAAAACGAAAAAACAGAAACAGTACATGAATTTTTGCATACCTTCAGGGGTCTAAGAGTCCCAAGTTAAGCATCCCTGTTCTGTCCTAGTGGAAATCTGTTCCTATTTTTTGGAAATCTGTGTTTTTGCCTATCCTGGTGAACATGACAAGAAGGGACACAGCAAACAGAAAATCGGATCATTATGAAATATGCTGAAATGCTCACTGGCTGAGCTATCTGCTTACCTCATTGGGAGAATTGCTAGAAGTATGGCTTTTTCATGGACATGCCACCCAAACATAAAGGAGCTCAAGGCACAAAGAATTAAACATCGGAGAAAGCCTCTGGGCCCTTGGGGTTTAAACCAAAGACAGAAAATAGAGGGCTAGAAACAATAGGCAAAGATAAACTTCAGTATCATTTGAAATAGACTTTACAGAAACAGAGTTCAGGTGAAGGCAATTTGCATCATCTCTGAAAGACAGCAGATCTTAGACAATTCTTCATGAAACTGGAATCATTCATCACTTTGTGCACAGTCTACCAAAAGTTAACATAAAAGCGACAACTCAGAAAAAGTTGGCAATTGATGTATATATTTAACTCACTAAAATTAATTCTACTGGCTGGCATGGTGGCTCATGCCTATAATCCCAACACTCTGGGGGCCAAGGTGGGGAGATCACTTGAGGTTAAGAGTTCAAGAACAGCCTGACCAATATAGTGAAACTTCATCTCTACTAAAAAAAAAAAAAAAAAAAAAAATTAGCTGGGCATGATGGTGCATGCCTATAGTCCTAGCTACTCAGGAGGCTGAGGCAAGAGAATCGCTTGAACCCAGGAGGCGGAGGTTGCAGTGAGCCAAAATTGCGCCACTGCACTCCAGCCTAGCTGACAGAGTGAGACTGTCTCAAAAAAAATTGGCTGGGGGTGGTGGCTCACACCTGTAATACCAGCACTTTGGGAGGCTGAGGTGGGTGGATCACAAGGTGTGGAGTTCAGGACCAGCCTGGTCAAGATGGTGAAATCCCGTCTCTACTAAAAACTACAAAAAGGCCGGGCGCAGTGGCTCATACCTGTAATCCCAGCACTTTGGGAGGCCGAGGCAGGCAGATCACCTGAGGTCAGGAGTTCGAGATCAGCCTGACCAACATGGAGAAACCCCATCTCAAATAAGAATACAAAAAAAAAAAAAAAAAAAAAATTAGCCAGGTGGGGTGGTGAATGCCTGTAGTCCCAGCTACTCAGGAGGCTGAGGCAGGGGAATCGCTTGAACCCGGGAGGCAGAGGTTGCAATGAGCCAAGATCGTGCCACTACACTCCAGCCTGGTGACAGAGCAAGACCCTCTCTCAAGAAAAAAAAAAAAAAAAAAAAAAAATCATACAAAAAATTAGCCAGGCACGATGGCAGGTGCCTATAATTCCACTTACTCGGGAGGCTGAGGCAGGAGAATCGCTTGAACGCGGGTGGCAGAGGTTGCAGTGAGCCGAGATTACACTACTGCACTCCAGGTGCAGTCAGGTCAGCCAGGTGACAGAGCAAGACTCCGTCTTAAAAAAAAAAATTAATTCTACTATCAAAATTAATAATTAAGTTCTGGGACATACAGCCTAACAACTTATTACAACTTCATAATTAGTTTATTAATAGTTCACTTATTAATGAACCTATTAGGTCAAACTACAGAAGTTCATAGATACTTCTGAGCCAACGAATTTTTACCATATTAATAAATATCTAGCTTTGTGGTATGGAAGGCCACGGAAATTATAGGTAATTTTAGGAAAAACGTTTTACCTCAATTAAAACCTGTGAACAAACAGGCCAGCAGAGCTTAATTATTTACATACCTATACTGTCATGTAATTAATTGCGGTCAGGTGGTTGCTAGTAGGTTTAAAACATTCAGAAACCAAAATAAAAAATAAGTGTAATTATAGATAGGATTGAGTTGTTTATATTGAATTCTACTAAAATTATAACATGAAATTGAGGTCACTGCAATCATTAATGAAATTTTAGAAACAAAAGTTTCTAAAGTACTTAGAATGAGGACTCTAAGAGCATCTTACTCTACTCATCTTACGTTCAAAAAGCCAATGTCGACTCTCTCAACTCATTAACACCATCAAGACAAAACATCCATGCTGTCCAGATACATTAGGAATTTTGATCATTTAGCTAAGGAGGAGAAAAACAAAACCAAATCTGGATATCCCTGTCACAAACATTTCCTCCTTTCTTTGCAGTATGGTCCATGCCTCTTTCTCCCTGGGCTTTTCTTTTCTCCTTTCCCCAGGGTAAACAGATGGTCTAACAGCCACTGGCAAGAATCTCTCTCACAAACGTTTTACTGGTAATCCTTCCTTATGGTGTTCAAAGCTACTCTAAGAATTGCTAGGAAATACTTCAATCTGCAGAAGGATTACAGGCATGGAATTTATCCTACAGTTGGAAGAGCTTGAAAGTTGGAATTAAATCAGCCAGACAAAAGAAAAACAGAGAAAACTCAAGAAATGAGTACCATCTGTTCAGTTCTTACCAGTATGGCAATCAGTGTGCATATAAGCGTTGCCAAGGGAGTCACAGAGGGAAGGACTGTATGTTGGAACTGCTGAACCAAACCACTTGTCATTGAGGCCTTGGGAATCTTGTTGGGATCAAGAAATTTCAATTTCAAACCTAAGAAACAGATATTTTGTTATTTTTATCACTGAGATACCACATATTAACAATCAATTCCTTGAGAAAAAAAAGCTACTAAATCGTATTGCTGCTTAGAGGCTAAGACTTCATGAATTTAATCCTATACTATTCTACTCAAAATGCCTCTGGTCTTAAATTATATCAAGCAGCTCTTTGCATTGGAACAGGGAATTTGTGCAGCTTATAGGAAACTTGCCAGCAGGTAGCACAAATGGTAATCTGCTCTCATCTCTGAAAGCAAGCTTCTAGAACAGTCTGCCCGTGTTATGAAGGAACTTGGAATCCTTCATCTCCTAAGGAGAAACGCTGTCTTCCTAAACAGCATCCAGTGTCTTCCATGATCTTGTAGCCCCTTCCCACCTGTCCAGCCTCATCTCTACTTTGTTAAATGCAGCTGGGCCACAATGAAATAACTGTGGGTCCTCAATATACCACTGTCAACACCTGTGTCCCTCTGCTCAGACAACTCCCTTTGCCAAGCTAACTTCTAATTCAATCACCTGAGAAACCTCCTATTTGCTCTGTCACCCAGGCTGGAGTGCAGTGGCGCAATCTCGGCTCACCGCAGCCTCTGACTCCTGAGTTCCAGTGATTCTCCTGCCTCAGCCTCCTGAGTAGCTGGGATTACAGGTGCCCACCACCACACCAGTTAATTTTTGTATTTTTAGTATAAATGGGGTTTCACCATTTTGGCCAGGCTGGTCTCAAACTCCTGACCTCAGGTTATCCGCCCACCTTGGCCTCCCAAAGTGCTAGGATTATAGGCGTGAGCCGCCACACCTGGTCGAGTGAGCTCACTCTTAAACAGTGTTAACCACAAGGCATTACACTTGTTTATGTGCTCATTCCACCTACTATACTGTATTCCTTTAGGGCAGGAATGATGATGAGTTCACTTCTATCCCTAGTACACAGGAGTTCAATAAATACTTACTAAGCCAATTCAGAGAATGACAATACAAGCCCCAAGAAGCTCTGGATAACAGGACAGTCAGGGACAGTCTGAGCATCCTAGGGCCCTGCTGAATGCCAGTGAAAATGAGTGCAATGTAGGAAAGATGTAGATTACCAAAATATTTTCTATTTACTCACCTCTTTCCCTTTCCCCTTTGGCCTGCTGATTCTCTTATAGCTAATAACTATCTCCCTGAAACACAGCTGTCTAACTCTGACACTGACTTTCCATGCAAAACATCTTCAAAGAGACAAACATACAAGTGAGGGTACAGAACTGCTTCCTGATTCAGACAAGGCAACTGGCCCTTGTACCTCATACTATGCTGACTGTTTAAAGCTTTTTCGGAAATATAAATGTTCTCTGCAATTTCCCCATTAAAAAAAAAAAGAAATATAAATGTTAGGAATCACTCTGTAAGAATGCCATGTACATCAAGGCTAGATTCATAGTGAGTGACACAGTGTAAAAGTCATCACATAGTTTATGATTTCCTTCAAATACTTATCAAAAACAGTGATAGCAGCCACCATGCATGGAGCATCTATAATGTGCCATGGACTCTGCACTTACTATTGTTAGCCCCCTGAGGTGGAGATGGAGTAACCTGCCCAAAGCCACACAACTAATAGGTGGGTAGAACTGAACTCAGGTTTGTCTGGCTCCAAAGTCCCTGATACTGTAACTTAGTACTTTTTTATTCTTGCTTCAGTTCCTCACAACACACTGTATAGGAACAGGAAAAGTACTTATACTTTTCATATAGTGAGGAAAATAAGATGAAAGGACTTGCCAATGCCACACACTGCCATAGCAATTTATGCTGGTAGGCCTCCAAACCAAGTCATCAGACTCTAGATCTGGAGTCCCAAGGGCCAAATCTATGCCCTGTGCCTGTGTTTTTGCACAGAACTGATACTACGAATGGTTTCTACTTTTAAAAGGTTTTAAGCAAGCTCACGCCTGTAATCCCAGGACTTGGGAGGCCGAGGAGGGCGGATCACCTGAAGTCAGGAGTTCAAGACCAGCCTGGCCAACATGGTGAAACTCAGTCCCTGCTAAAAATACAAAATATTAGCCGGGTGTGGGTGGTGTGTGCCTGTAATCCCAGCTGTTAAAAGGCTTCTCAGAGGCTGATGCAGGAGAATTGCTTGAACTGAGGAGGCAGAGATGGCAGGGAGCCAAGATCGCGCCATTGCACTCCTTCCTGGGTGATAAGAGCAAGACTACATCTCAAAAAGAAAAAAGGTACACACACAAATATAGACACAGACACACACACATACTGTGTGTGGCCTGCACAGCTTAAAATATCCAGCAGTTACAGAAAAAGTTTGCTGCCCACCACTCTTGATCATGCCGTTTTCCCACCAAGCTAGGTTGTATTCACAAATGAGACTGTGAGTTATCCAAAGTGAGTTATTTTTAGTGGAACCATCTCAAAGCATAACTTATTTTTCATTACAACCCAAATTTTAAAAAGCATAGCCTAGGTTTTTCATTTCTTCTCATCTCATGTTAAAATGCAGGGTTATTTTCTTTATTGGTTTAATATCCAAAGTCAAAACTTACATATTCTTCTTTCTTATATATTTAGGTTTAAAAGTGGGGTGGGCCAGGTACGGTGGCTTGTGGTGGTGATCCCAGCACTTTGGGAAGCCAAGGTGGGAGGATCATATGAGACCAAAAGTTTGATACCACTCTAGGCAACAGAGGGAGACCTTCAACTCTAAAAACAAAAATTTAAAACTCAGCCAGGTGTGGTGGCATGCACCTGTGGACCCAGCAACTCAGGAGGCTGAGACAAGAGGATAGATAATTCGAGCCCAGGAATTTAATGCTGCAGTGCAGCTATGATCTCAACACCATTGCATGCCAGCCTGGGTGACACAGTAAGACCCTGTCTCTCTAAAAATAAGTAGGGGTTTGAATAGGAATGGTGAGAAGGGGAAAAAATGTAGGGTTAACTGCTGCTGCCAAATAACGTTTTTAATTAAGGGGAAAATTACCTTTATAGAGTGTCTAAATATTTTACTTTTTCCCCCAGAAAGGATCAATAACCTCATTATAACAAGGAGCTTTTCTAAGGAAAACAGTCTGTTTATTGCACTAACGCTTCAGTCCCAAGAATTGCCCCAGCTGTTCATCCTGAAAGCTGAAATGCAGGACTGGAGAACAGACAATTCAGCCACATTTAAAACACAAAAGTTTTCCTGTTTCTCCATGTGACCACTGTTTCAATATTCAGACCGGGTAAACAATGCCTGCTACCATACCGATGACAGACAGCACTTTGTCCAAAGCATTGTACAAAGCCCAGAAGTTTGGAGCCCAATATGCATGGCAGAGGCCCCTCTTGAAAGGAAAGAGTCGGGAAAAGACTTGAGGCAGCTGATTCTGTTGAAAAGAGAAATGAAACTGATTAAACAGTCATCAATCTTTTCCAAATTCAAAAAGAGAACTAGGGAACTCTCTACGGTATAGTGTGCAGGAAGTTATGGGGTTGAGGTTCCACTCTTGAGCAGTTCACAGAACCTTTTTTTGGTTTCACTTTGTCCACTGCCAGTGGGACAATATACATTAAAATACTTTGAATACAAGTTCATACTATAATAATGGAATAATTTACAAGCTACAAGGCAGAACACAGACTGCAGCTTATCCATGTCTACTAGGGTAAAGGGGAGAGCTGGGAAGACTACAAAAGATGTGACGCATTTTGGTTTTAGTAAGAATTAAAATTAATTATTGATTTCAGGGCAGGGAAGAAGGGGAACAAAGAAGATACCTGAACATTTGTTAAATTTTATGCACTTTAGAATGTTTACTGTCCATGTAAGATTGCAAAATGATTTTTTTACAAATGCATTTTATCAAGTAGGTAAACTTACAAATACAAAACACACAAATCCATGAAGATCAATTCTGTGTGTGTCTGTGTAACATATAGTTAAACATATAAATGCATGTACATATTTTAATGTACACAAAAATGTCTGAAAGAATACTACCCTACCCAGCAGGGCACAGTGGCTCCAGCACTTTGGGAGGCCGAGGTGGGTGGTTCACTTGATGTCAGGAGTTCGAGACCAGCCCGACCAACATGGTGAAACCCTGTCTCTACTAAAAATACAAAAATTAGCTGGGCATGGTAGCATGCACCTATAATCCCAGCTACTCAGGAGGCTGAGGCAGGAGAAACGCTTGAACCCAGGAAGTGGAGATTGCAGTGAGCCGACACTGCACCACTGCACTCCAGCCTGGGTGACAAAGTGAGACTCCATCTCAAAAAAAAAAAAAAAAAAAAAAAAAAAAAAAAAAGGGAATACTACCCTATCTTTGGGAAGTCACATTGGGTGGCAAGAATAAGAAAAAGTAGCTTTTACTTATATATTCCTGGCTTTATTATGTTTTCTAAATACCAACAAACAACATGTATTAAAAAACAAACAAAAGACTTACCAAGGCTAGGAAAGGACCCAATGAAAGAGCAGAAACTAGGAAAACAACTAGTCCCAGGGAAATAACACGGACGGAGCTGAAACTGTTCCATCGAATAGACCCATCTACAGAAAAGGAACGTTAGCATTAACCATAACCTATATCATGTGCTACAACTAGAAGTATCCCACAATTGTACACCAATCTATTCATGATGTGAAAAGAGCAAAGTGAGAATGGGGTAAAGGGCTTATAGGATCAGTAGGTGAGAGATATCTGCTGTGCTTCATAAAATCTTCTTATCAACCAAGATACCAACTCAACATAGTAAGGAAAAAATCGAAAATGTTTTTGCTATCATCACCAAAACTTGCCTGGTTTATTTGCAGTGAAACAGTAGGATCGCAGCAGATATACACCATAAGCTGGTGCTACATAGAGGTAGATGTGCTTGAAATGTAGGAGAACAGCAAAGAGAAATGCTCCTTCTATATGCCTTTTCTAGAAGATTTAAAAGGGAAATATCACTTTAAAACTCAGGGTAAATGAAATGCAATAATGTGGTATCCTGGATTGAATCCTGGAACAGAAAAAGGACATTAGTGGAAAAATGGGTGAAATTCAAATGCACCAATGTTGCTTTCTTAGTCTTGATGAATGTATCATGGTTATGTAAGGTGATAATGGGGGAAAATGGGTGAGGAGAACATAGGAACTCTCTATGCTATTTCTACAACTTTTCTGGAAAGCTAAAATTATTCTACAAAAAGGTTATTAAAAAAACTAAAAATAGGCTGAGTGTGGTGGGTCACACCTGTAATCCCAGCACTTTGGTAAGCCAAGGCGGGAAGATTGCTTGACCCCAGGAGTTCAAGACCAGCCTGGGCAAAATAGGGAGGCCCTGCATCTATACAAAATTAAAAATAAAAATTAGCTAGGCGTGCTGGTAGTACCTGTAGTACCAGCTACTCAGGAGGCTGAGGTGAGAGAATCTGCTTCAGCACAGGAGGTGAAGGCTGCACCTGTAGTACCAGCTACTCAGGAGGCTGAGGTGAGAGAATCTGTTTCAGCCCAGGAGGTGAAGGCTGCAATGAGCCGTGGTGATACCACTGCACACCAACTTGGGTGACAGAGTAAGACTCTGTCTCTAAAATAAATAAATAATAAATGATACCTACTTTGATTAGTTTTAATTTTATTTTATTTTAGAGACAGAGTCTCACTCTGTCTTGCCCAGGCTAGAGTGCAGTGGCACGATCTCGACTCACTGCAGCCTCCCAGGTTCAAGCGATTCTCCTTTTTCAGCCTTCTGAGTACCTGGGACTACAGGAGTGCACCACTACACCCGGCTAATTTTTCTATTTTTTTAGTAGACAGGGTTTCACCATGTTGGCCAGGCTGGTCTCAACCTCCTGACATCAGGTGATCCACCCACCTTGGCCTCCCAAAGTGCTGAGATTACAGGCATCAGCCACTGTACCTAGCCAAATACCTACTTTTAAATATGTATTCTGAAATACAAATATAGTATCTGGGATATGTTTTAAAATAATTGTGTTTGTGTGTGTGTATAGATCATTGTACTATTTTCTTGCTTTTGTATGATTTAAATTTTCTATAATAAAATGTTTTAAAGTCACACCTGGAATCCCAGTATTTTGGCAGGCCAAGGCAGGAGGGTCACTCGAGGTCAGGGGTTGACCCTGGGCAATAAAGGTGAACTCTGTCTCTACAAAAAAAATACAAATATTAGCTAGGCCTGGTGGAATTCACCTGTAGTCTCTGCCACTTGGGAGGCTGAGGTGGGAGCACTGCTTTAGCCCAGGAGGTTGAGACTGTAATGAGCTATGATTTTGCCACTGCATTCCAGCCTAGGCAACAGAGCAAGACAGTGTCTCCAAAAAAAAAAAAAAAAGTTAAAAAAAATTTTTATTTTCTCACTGTGTCATCCAGGCTGGAGTGTAACAGCATGATCTTGGCTTACTTCAGTCTTGACCTCCTGGGCTCATGAGATCTTCCTGCCTCAGCCTCCTGTGTAGCTGGGAACACAGGTGTATACTAGCAAGCACAGCCAGCTAATTTTTTCATTTTCTGTAGAGATGGAATCTCATTTTGTTCTCAGGCTAGTCTTAAACTCTGGCCTCAAGTGATCCTTCTCCCTTAGCCTCCCAAAGTACTGGGATTACAGGCATGAACCACCAGGCCTGGCCCAAGGTAAATATTCTATAACCAATATAAGGAAAACATAGGCAAGTGATTCCAACTAGCTTTCTTTTTTTTGAGACAGAGTTTCATTCTTATTGCCCAGGCGGGAGTGCAATGGTGTGGTCCCGTCTCATTGTAACCCTCCACTTCCCAGGTTCAAGTGACTCTTTTGCCCCAGCCCCCCAAGTAGCCGGGATTACAGGTGCCCACCACTATGTCCAGCTAATTTTTTTTTTGTATTTTTAGTCAAGACAGGGCTTCACCATGTTGGTCAGGCTGGTCTTGAACTCCTGGCTTCAAGTGATCCACCTGTCTCAGCCTCCCAAAATGCTGGGATTACAGGCATCAGCCACCGCATCCAACCTAGCTAGCTTTTATACTGAGTCTAGTGTACTCATAAATTCATTATTTTAACAAAGACTTATCAAGTACTAAGCCTGATGCTGAGATATCTTACACATCATCAGTAATAACACACTGCAAGTTTTCCCTTAGGAATTAGGGCCCAGAGAACTAAGTTACATTCATCACTCACAGTTTCATAATAGCTGAAGTTGATTTCCAAAGAAGGGCTGGGAATGACAGCATGAATAAATATATATGATGCTATGCTACCAAAAAAATCAATTAAATTTTATATTGTAGATCAGGTAACTTATATAGCACTATTAGGCTGAAGGCACCAGTTATTGCACTTGATCCCGACACTACTAAGAGAACTAATGGTATTCTAATATTAAAAAAACAAAACAAAACCAGTTTACTATAACTAAGAAGTCCAAATTGGGCTGGGTGCAGTGGCTCACACCTGTAATCCCAGCACTTTGGGAGGCTGAGCTGGGTGGACTGCTTGAGCCTAGAAGTTCAATACTAGCCTAAGCAAAATGGCAAAACCCCATCTCTACTAAAAAATACAAAAATTAGCTGGATATGGTGGTGTGCACCTGTGGTCCCAGCTAATTGGGGGCTGAGGCAGGAGGACTATTTAAGCCTAGGAGGTTGAGGTTACAGTGAGCTGTGACTGCACCACTGCACTCTCCAGCCTGGGTGATAGAGCATGACATGGTCAAAAAAAAAAAAAAGAAAACGTCTGAAATCTACCCACCTCACAGGAATTATAGACAGATCAAATGAGATAACAGTCCTGACATTTTGCAAGAGAAATTGCCACAGGGACCATGAAAGGCCAGGTTCCTTCTCTCATCAGATGCAGTCTAGAATAGGCAGCTTTTAGGAATAACAAACAAGAGAGGGATACTCCCAGGTCCCTCTTAAATTTTATAACTATAAGATCTGGATAAGGTCTAACTGATTCTATAGTCAAATTTTATTTGTTCAACAAGCATCCAACAAATACTCACTGAACACCAATTATATTCTAAGTACTATATGGCTTTTTATGGTTAAAAGAGAAAAGTTTATGCAGACATTTATAATTGACAGAGAACTTTAGATTATCAAATTTGATCTTTCCAATGTCCCTGTGAGGTAAGTAGCCCCATTTTACAAATAAGAATGTAGAGGTAAATTTCATCTTATGGATGAGAAAACGAGGCTAGGAGGGTTAAATGACTTGCCTTCAGTTAATGGTTCCCAAACCTGATGGTGTACTAAAATTCCTTAGAGTCTTAAGCCCCATTCCTAGAGACTTTTTTAACAACTTTACAGAATGCTTCTGAAGTTTACTCAATAAGATATGTGTAAGCCAGGTGTGGTGACACACATCTGTAATCCCAGAGACTCAGGAAACAGAGTTAGGAGGATTGTTCAAGGCCAGGAGTTCAAGACCTGCCTATAATCCCAGCACTTTGGGGAGGATCACTTGCAATCATAAGACCAGCCTGGACAACATAGTGAAATCCCCTTCTCTACCCCACCCCCCCAAAAAAATTAGCCAGGTGTGGTGGTGTGCACCTGTAGTTCTAGCTACTCAAGAGGCTGAGGTGGGGGGACTGCTTGAGCCCAGGAGTTTGAGGTGGCAGTGAGCCATGATTGCACCAGTGCACTCCAGCCTGGGTGATACAGCAAGACTCTAACTCTTAAGGGGAAAAAAAAAAAAAAAAGATACATGGAATGTATGCAATCGTAAGTGGCCATGTATTTGACTAAGCTCTGGCTGAGTTGCATAGTTCATTTATGTTAGTCAGGATTACACACAGTTCTTCCGATCCTAAATCTCCTTCTACTACATTAATCTTCATGCTGCTGATAGTAAAGTACCATCATCGTAGTTACTATATTGTAAAGACTGCTGCTAGATACTTCATTCATATATAAATGATCCAAACCAGACACAGAAAATGTCATTTGGGGCAGGCGCAAGGACTCATGCCTGTAATCCCAGCATTTTGGGAGGCCGAGGTGTGAGGAACATTTGAGGTCAGGAGTTTGAGATCAGCCTGGCCCACATGGTGAAACCCTGTCTCTACTAAAAATACAAAAATTAGCTGGGCATGGTGGCGTGTGTCTGTAGTCGTAGCTACTTTGGAGGCTGAGGCAGGAGAATTGCTTGAATGCAGGAGGCAGAGGTTGCAGTGAGCCAAGATTGTGCCACAGCACTCCAGCCTGGCGACAGAGCAAGACTCTGTCTCAAAAACAAAAATTAGCTGGATGTGATGGTGTGCACCTGTAATCCCAGTGAGGCCTGAATCAAGGAGGTGGAGGTTGCAGTGAGCTGAGATTGAGCCACTGTACTCCAGTCTGGGTGACAGAGTGAGACTGTCTCAAAAAACAAGCAAACAAACAAAAAAACTCAATTTAATTCAGGCCTGCCATATGCTAACAAGTTTTTGGAGTATAATTTTCTCATCTATAAAGTAAAGAAAAGGTCAAAAGAAAAGATGGAATTTGTGAGAACTGCCCAATGAAGGTGTCTATAGCACTTGGCAACTCAAAACAGTCAAATAAATTTACCCATCACCCACTACACTGTTGCCTTTACAATCTAAAAACTAATCTAAAGGGGGAAAATCTAATTAACCAATTGTATGTTTACCTGAAATAATCGTGCAATGGAGAGTAGCATTAATCCAAATAAAAAGCCATTGTACTGAAAATGAATATCTGGACTTAGGTCAAGGAAAGACAACAGAGGACACCAAATTCATAATGAACTCTACCAGCTGACTGAATATAGAAATTCCAAATGCTTTCTTTTTATTATTTTTATTTTTATTTTTGAGAGGAGTTTCGCTCGTTACCCAGGCTGGAGTGCAATGGCGCGATCTCAGCTCACCGCAACCTCCGCCTCCTGGGTTCAGGCAATTCTCCTGCCTCAGCCTTTTGAGTAGCTGGGATTACAGGCACGCACCACCATGCCCAGCTAATTTTTTGTATTTTTAGTAGAGACGGGGTTTCACCATGTTGACCAGGATGGTTTCGATCTCTTGACCTCACGATCAACCCGCCTTGGCCTCCCAAAGTGCTGGAATTACAAGCTTGAGCCACCGCGCCCGGCTCCAAATGCTTTCTTAATAGCAAAATTAAAGACAAAAAAGATTACTAATGTGGACTGCTCATAAATGTTTTCTATAAACAGAGTCAAATCTTTTTAAAAATACATATTTTTATTTTTGCTCGTCTCTGTATCATTCCAATTTTAGTATATGTGCTCTGGAAGCAAGCACGATAGTCAAATCTTTAATTGAAACTTATGTTTGATTGGGCATGGTGGCTTATGCCTACAATCCCAGCACTCTGGGAGGCTGACATGGGTAGATCACTTGAGATCAGGGGTTCAAGACCAGTCTGGCTAACATGGCAATCCCCCGTCTCTACCAAAAATACAAAAATTAGCCGGGTGTGGTGGCACACACCTTTAGTCCCAGCTACTTGGGAGGCTAAGGCATGAGAATTGCTTGAACTTAGGAGGTGGACATTGTAGTGAGCAGGAATTGTGCCACTGAACTCCAGACTGGGTAACAGGGCAAGACTGTCTCAAAAATAAGAAAAGAAAAGAAAGAAACTTATGTTTACTGACATCTTTAACTAGATGATATAAAATATAATTTAAAGACAAAACTGTCCCATGTTTTTTCCACCTTAAAGGCCCAACAGCTAAGGGGCGAGAAGTTTTTTATTTGTTTTTTAGAATAAGGGATGAGAAAGGAAGGGACCTAACAGCTACCCAAGGCCACCAGCATGTGGCATTTCATTGTTTTTAGGACATATACAATCTTACGTATTAAGCCTCACAATGAACCTGTGAGGTATTTAGAATTATCCTCTTTAGAGATACTTTAGAGATTAAGAAATTAAGCCTCAGAGACATTTATCTACTCACAGTCCTAAATCTGCTAATGGCAACTAAGATTTGAGTCCAGGTTACATTGAAACCAGAGTCTGGGTGGTTTCCTCTACACCAGGCTACCTCTATGAAAATTGCAAACTATTAGCTTCCATTACTAGGACTTTAATTACATTCAAAAGCTTTGAATTTAGGAACTTTGCCTGTTAATATGTGGTAAGCCAAGATGGTAGAAAACCACAAATGCCTGATCGTTCCCATATGCACATTGTGATATGCCTTTTCCAATGAAAAGTATTTGGAATAATGTGTTATAAAACTATTCAATATATATGTATCAGATTAATCTAAAAATAGTTCAGAATATCAGCACATTACTTTATTGATGGTTTAGCTGGTTCTCACATACCCCACTAATTTTTCAGAAACGAAATACTCTAACATCAGAGTCCAGTAAAGTTGGGCTGAGACCACAGTTATATAAGCCTACTAACCCATTTTCAGAAGCAGCTCACATCTCACAATCATTATTATAGAAAACATTAATCTTATATTATATATCAGAATAAGTAAGGAAACTGTACAAAGAGTATCAAGGATACGGTCCACAATTAATAACCCGAAGTTCCATAGAAGTAATACCGATAGAATAAATTTTGGCTTCTCTGTAAGTTCTTTACCCACTTTTTTCCCACCAATGCATTTACAGCACCTACATTGAAACATTAGGAAAGAAATAGAAACAATTTGATATTCATTAGAACATCACTTCTGCAGAGTAAACTATGATACATTAGTCACTCCTAACAAACTACATGCCATTCTTTTTTTGTTCCCCAATTTTTCTTTCTTTTTTTAGAAGAGATGGGGTGTCACTATGTTGCCCAGGCTGATCTCTAACTCCTGGGCTAAAGGAATCCTCCTGCCCTGGCATCTCAAAGTCCATGCCATTCTTGATTTCTTAAGATCACAGCAAGCTGAGCAGGGTGGCAGGTGCCTGGCTATGCAGGAGGCTGAAGTGAGAGGACCACTTGAGCCTGGGATTCTGAGGCCAGCCTGGGTGACATAGTAAGACCTTGTCACTAAAGAAAAAAAAAAGTGGCAGCACAAACAAGGACCTCAGGGCTTTTCTAAGCTATGCTGATCTGAAATAAAGTCTTAATTTAATAAAAAGAAAAAGAAAAAGCCACCTAAACCCCAAAAATAAGGATTCTGAAAATTGAGAGGGCATACATTATTTCAGTCCTTAAGAGTAAAAACTGCAGCAGGCTGATTTAGCACTCTAAATTATGTATTATAATACCAGTCAAATTAAGAACAGAACTGCACATGTGCATCTCCTGACTGTCCAAATAATTTAAAAACCTTTATGTAAAAATGTATGTCATTTAAATGTTGAGATATATTACTAAGTGACAATAGCAGGTGACAAAACAGTAAGATCCTATTTTTATTTTATGAAAATTATATTTGAGCACAGAAAAGAGACTGAACTAATATACACCAAATGTTAATAGTGATTAGTATAGGTAGGGGAGTATGAATCATTTTTACTTTGAGTGTGTGTGTACTTTTCCAAAGTTTTTACAGTGGGGATGTATTATTCTATAAAAAGATATTTAAAATGTGTTACATTTGAATATCGGCAAATTCTAACAAATCTAAAACAAATAATAGAGGCAATTAGAGGGGGACTAGCAAAAGTAACCTCCTTTTCCCCTGTGGAGCCTCAGTTCCCTCATGAATAGAAGCGGTAAATTTATAGGGTCACTGAGAAAATTATGTAAGTTAATAATCTGTACATAGTGCTTGGTTCTGGGAACTGGCACATAGATTTCAATTTTTCTTTTTCTTTTCTTTTCTTTTCTTTTTTTTTTTTGAGACAGGGTCTCCGTCTGGTGCCCAGGATGGAGTGCACTGGCGTAATCACAGCTCACTGCAGCCTTGACCTCCCAGGTTCAAGAGATCCTCTGCCTCATCCTCCTAAGTAGCTGGGACCACATTCGCCAGCAACCATACCAGCTAATTTTTGTATTTTTAGTAGAGACAGGATTTTACCCTGTACCCAGGCTGGTCTCAAACTCCTGAGCTCAAGTGATATGCCAGCTTTGGCTTCCCAAAGTGCTGGGATTACAGGCATGAGCCACCATGCCTGGCTTTTCAACATTCTTTTTAACTGTTCCCTCTACTTTGTAGATGGAAGTGAATTCTATTTCCTCTCCCCTTCTGCTTGTACACACTTTCCCTGGAAGCTTGAATTCAAACATTTTGAGTTAAAAAGAGTATACTAAAAATTACCTTCCCTTTCAACTCTTGGCAGCTCATAAACAGATTGAAAGGAAGGGTTTCAAACAGGAGTTATTCTGTGAGAATAATAAGGGTTAAGACATTCCCAAAGGACTCTTTACTGACTAGTGAGGCAAGGGTTCAGTATAAAGGGCCTCACAAACAGAAATGATCCATTTATGACAAGGGTCACTGAATGAACACCAGTTCCTGTTCTGTCACAATTGCACCAGTAAGCTTAAGAATTAGGAAAGAATGAGTCTGGGCATGGTGGCTTACGCCTGTAATCCCAGCACTTCGGGGGGGCCCAGTTGGGTAGATCATGAGGTCAGAAGTACAAGACCATCCTGGCCAACATGGTGAAACCCTGTCTCTACTAAAAATACAAAAATTAGCCAAGCGTGGTGGTGTGCACCTGTAATCCCAGCTACTCGGGAGGCTGAGGCAGAAGAACTGCTTGAATCTAGGAAGCAGAGGTTGCAGTGAGCAGAGATTGCGCCACAGCACTCCAGCCTAGGCAACAGAGCAAGACTCCATCTCAGAAAAAAAAAAATTTAGGAAAGAATGGAAACTGACATTGACTGAAACTTAGTACTTGGAAGGCACGGTGCAAAACATTCTGTTTGTGTGTATTCAAAACTTAACATATAAGTAAAAGTTGTAAAACATAAAAATATAAAATATAAACGTAACTTAAAATAACAGTCTTCATAAAGGAAAGCATAAAGAAACAACTAAAAGCACTCAGTGAGATTTCCTGAGTTTACTAGGAGGTAAACTCTGTAAAAGCAGACTTTGGTGGTTAGCACGATGCATACATGTATTGTGTGCATCCCCCAAGAGAGGGTAGGTGATGGAACCCTCTGGGGGCCTGCTGCAAGGAAGCAAAGAAAAACATATGGAGCTATTCTGGGTGGGAGAAATGGCCCAAGAACTATACTTGGGACTACTTCTTTTCACAATATTCATAATCTCTTGTTCCACCTCTGCCTTATAACTCCACTTTATCCCCATTTCTTCCACAAGATTCAGCTAGAGTGCTTTAAACGTGTAGTTTAAAAGCACAATATAATTTTTAATTGTTCTGGCATTTGCTATCATATAAACTTTGTTTCTCCTAAATCAGGAGTAAGTCACTACTACTTAACACCATAATATTTCTTCAATACCTTCCATACAAAATGACATGCTCCAGACTTACTCATGGACAGCATATACAAAGAGTATATCTGTAAAGATGACAGAAAATCTCTGGAAAAGTAAGGTCCTTGAGCTGGAGTAATTCAAATTATGGACATTCAGCATCTCTTGATCAAAATATTTGGCGACATGTGACAGTATATACTCAAACCATGCAAAAAAAGGGGGGTAATCCAACGTCCACTCTGAAGTTGCCTGTGATGAAAACAGAAGATCAAACACATCCTAAGCAACTGAATAAACAAAGATGGTACAAAGAGTTAAAATTCTTCATTCTCTCGTCTCTATTTTTATTTATTTTATTTTTGTGAGGTGGAGTCTCGCTCTGCCGCACAGGCTGGAGTGCAGTGGTGTGATCTTGGCTCATTGCAACCTCCGCCTCCCGGGTTTAAGCAATTCTCTGCCTCAGCCTTTGGAACAGCTGGGATTACAGGCACCTGCTACTATGGCTAATTTTTTTGTATTTTTCACAGAGATGGGGTTTCACCATCTTGGCCAAGCTGGTCTTGAACTTCTGACCTTGTGATCCACCTGCCTCAGCCTTCCAAAGTGCTGGGATCACAGGTGTCAGCCACTGTGCCCAGCCTTTTTTCTGGTCTTGAATACAGCACAATGAGGCGAGGCATGGTAGTTCGCACCTGTAATCCCAGTACTTTGGGAGGACGAGGCAGGTATATCGCTTGAGCCCAGGAGTTCAAGACCAGTCTGGGCAACCTGGCAAAACCCTGTCTAGAGAATATATTTTTATTTAAATAAGAAAAATAGATTTTTATTTAAATAAGAAAAAGAAAATCACAGTGAAATGCAGTTGCACTTAAAATGTGCCCTAAATTAATAGAACAATTCCTATGTAAGACTGAACAGAAGACTAAAACCTGTCTTCTAAGTTATTTAACATGGTCTTAAGTTTCCCTAAATAGAGTCAACTATACTTAAAGAAAAATAATTGGAAACCTGGAGATAATAAACTTGGTTATGACATGGTTCTACTCATCTGAATAAAAAATAATTCACAAACTTAGGTTCAAATTCTGTCTTAGAGACTCAATTTCCCTATTTGTAAAAGGAGGTATTATGAAGATTAAATGAGATAATATGTATGAAATACATTTACAAACAACAGGATGGTACACGAATGCTATTTGTCTTTTTTTTTCAGTAAGTTATATGATCCTGGAGAATAGAAACTACCCTTTGTCATTTTGTATCCTGAGCATTTAATAAGTGGCTGACATATTGTTTGGGATTAAATAATCATTAAATGAACAGTTGCTAATAAGTAAATGAAAACAGGAATCATATGAAAATACACAAGCTTTAGAAGAGTGTATTTTGTTAGATTTCTCTAAGTCTCAGTTTTTGTACCTGTATAACAGGGATAGTAATGTCTACCTTATGGGATATGGTATTCCATTTTATATATAAATATAAAATACTATATATATAGTATTGAACTCATAGAAAACTCACAAAAAATTTGCCTTAAAAAAACCTCCCAGCCAGGGGTGGTGGCTCATGCCTGTAATCTCAGCACTTTGGGAGGCTGAGGCAGGCAGATAGATCACTTGAGGTCAGGAGTTCAAGACCAGCCTGGCCAACATGGTAAAACCTTGTCTCTACTAAAAATACAAAAATTAGCCAGACATGGCAGTGCCTGCCTGCAATCCCAGCTACTCAGGAGGCAGAGGCAGGAGAATCACTTGAACCCAGGAGGCTGGAGGTCATGCCACAGCACTCCAGCCTGGGCGACAGAGCAAGACTCAGTCTCAAAAAATAAAAATTAAAAAAACCCAAAAAACAAAACTCCCTGGGCCAGGCACGGTGGCGTACACCTGTAATCCAAGCACTTTGGAAGGCTGAGGCAAGGGGATCAGCTGAGGTCAGGTGTTCGAAACCAGCCTGACCAATATGGTGAAACCCCGTCTCCACTAAAAATAAAAAAAATAAAAAATTAGCTGGGCATGGTGGTGGGCACCTATAATCCCAGCTACTCAGGAGGCTAAGACAGGAGAATCACTTGAACCCAGGAGGCAGAGGTTGTAGTAGCCGAGACTGTGCCATTGCACTCCAGCCTGGGTGACAGAGAGAGACTCTGTCTCAAAAAAAGAAAAAACAAACAAACAAACAAACAAAAACCAACTCCCTGTCAACACAGCACTGCTTTTGATGAAGAAATTTTTGAGGTGATGTCTGTTTTGCATAAAGTATTACATGCAGTTTAGTTATTCATACCAGAAATAAAAATATAGGCCGGGTGCGGTGGCTCACGCCTATAATCCCAGCACTTTGAGAGGCCAAAGTGGGTGGATCACCTGAGGTCAAGAGCTCTGAGACTAGCCTGGCCAACATGGTGAAACCCCGTCTCTACTAAAAATACAAAAATTAGCCAGGGCGTGGTTGTAGGTGCCTGTAATCCCAGCTACTCGGGATGCTGAGGTAGGAGAATCGCTTGAACCTGGGAGGCAGAGGTTGCAGTGAGCTGAGATCGCGCCACTGCACTCCAGCCTGGGTGACAGTGAGACTCTGTCTCAAAAAGGGAAAATGAAATACAAATATAGATGTAGTTTTTATAAGCAATATGAGAGAATGGTCTGTATATTTAACCTGACGTCTACACATCACATTTGATTATTCCTTACCTCATAAAATTACAAAACATTAGGATCAGACAGGATCTTAGAAACATTAGGATCAGACAGGATCTTAGAAATAATTCACTCCAAATCCTCATGTGCCAGATGAGACACTAAGGCCCAGAGACATGAAGTATCTTTTCTCTATGTAACTAGACAGTAGTAGAACCAAGCCTAAGAATCTAATTCTTCCTCTTTCCCAGCCCACTGTTCTTTCAAAAAATGTGGTATATACTAAAATTTCCAATTTATAGACTGGGAAACTCACTTTGAAGTATGGGGATTCCCTAGTAGCACAAGAGGACAGAACTGAGAACACAATTTTTATAAAGATTAGTTAGACCTATGATTGCACAGAAAACATATTTAATATCAATAATATTTACCTAGTTTATATATGAATCTTTAAAAAAAACCCAAAAAGGTGAAAATTAACACTTACCTCATAATACCACTGTGATATTGGCAAACTGTGAGTAATAGCAAGCCAGTTTCGGTGTACTTCAAAATCTGTAGAATGGCTACTCAAAAACAATTAGATGAACAAAATAAGATTTTGCAATATTTATCTATTTCTAATTCCCATAGTTATGTTTTTAAATGGACTGATACTCCCTAAGCAGTCACAGCTCACTATCCTATAGAGATATAAATAGACATTGCATAATCCTATAAGGTCTCACTTATCTAGAGGTCAGATCTTCTTCTGGAAAGTTGTTGAGCAATCTACAAGCCAGAGAAAAGAGTATCAGAACTATCTAGAGGGCTGACAAGAAGCTCAGACTTTTTTTTTTTTTTTTTTTTGAGACAGAGTCTCATTCTGTCGTCCGGACTGGAGTATAGTGAACCTGTCTTGGCTCACTGCAACCGCCATCTCCCAGGTTCAAGTGAGTCTCCTGCCTCAGCCTCCCCAGTAGCTGAGACTTGCAGGCGTGTGCCACCAATCCTAATTTTTGTTTTTTTTAGTAGAGATGGGTCTTGCCATGTTGGACAGGCTCGTCTCAAACTCCTGACCTCAGGTGATCCACCTGCCTCAGCCTCCCAAAATCTGGTGTTATAGGCATAAGCCACCCAGTCTAGCCCAGACTTTTTCTTTCAGGTAGCCATCAGGCCTTTACTCAGAAGTGACTTCCTCTTGCTTACAAACAATTCTAATAAAATTCTTTACCTGAAAAAGGCCTCACATGTCATGATGTGAGGATGAGTAGGAGTTCATCATACAGAGAAGGTGGGAAGAGATCCTTGCCTTGCCTTTCCCATGACTCCAGATTCTCCCTCCCCGTCACTATATATAAATATTATCTAAGGATTACCCATCTTTAATAAAAATTTTTTTGTTTGTCCACCGCTGTACCTCCCTTCCACATTTAGAAGAGCACCTGACACATGGATGGGCTCAATATTCTTGATGAATACCTAAACGCACCAAAGTCAACAATGAGTTCCACAGCGAAGCCCAGTTTACACTTTCCAATGTTTTATACAACCTTTCCACAATGATGACTTTCTCCTACCTCCAGCCAACCCCCTCTGTCTCAGCCATGGCTTTCCCTTCCTATATTCATCAGGGACATATTGCTATTCCCCTACATTCAGTTCTTTGTCCTCTTTGTATGCAATTTATTCTACTCTGGACAATCTTATGCACACTTTCTGGTTCCATTATTGATTGTATAATGATGACTCTCAAATTTTTTTCTTTGAGACAGTCTCACTCTGTTGCCAGGTTGGAGTGCAGTGGCACAATTTCGGCTCACTGCAACCTTCACCTACCCAGTCTCAGCAATTCCCCTGCCTCAGCCTCCCAATTAGCTGGGACTCTTGGTGCGTGCCACCACGCCTGGCTAATTTTTTTTTGTATTTTATTAGATAACGGGGTTTCATCATGTCAGCCAGGATGCTCTCGATTTACTGACCTCGTGATCCGCCTGCCTCAGCCTCCCAAAGTGCTGGGATCACAGGCGTAGGACACCATGCCCAGCTGACTCCCAAGTTTCAATATTGCAACACTGGCTTCTTTTCTAAGTTGTAGACAGACTCCTCCAACTTCCTGTTTACAATCTCACTTGAATTTCCTATGGATTTTTCAAAACCTCCACTCGAAACTGAACTGATGACCCATCAATCCCAAGTCTAAGTATGTATACCCAACAGAAATGCATAGTATGTTCACTAAAAGGCACGTACTTTAAGAATGTGCAAAGTAAAACTGTTAGCAACAGGCAAAAGTGGGGATAATTCAAATGTCCATGAAGAGCAGAATGGCTAAATACTGGTGTTTTCACACAATGAAATACAATAGGGCAGCAGTTCTTAAAGTGTAATTCAGAGACTAGCAGGGAGACCCTTTCAGAGAGTTTGAAATATGTACTATTTTCATAATAACATTCAGATGTAATTTGTCCTACTTTCACTCATTCTCTAGCAAGTATACAGTGACGTTCCAGAGGCTACATAATGTCATATCATCACTGATGGTCAGTGAAATTTGTGCTTGTATATTCTTGTGCTTGAACAATTTGTTTTAATTTCTAAAATGGTAATTATACAGCCTACATAAACATATAGCTCTTTGTGACCCTCATTTTTAAGCAGTGATTCTGACACAAAAATTTGAGAACCATTGCCATTAGTGGTAAGAATGAAAAAAATTATGCAACAACACACAATGTTGAGTGAAAGCCAGACCCAAGAGAATATGCTATACATTTATGTAGTTTATATAAATTTATATAAAATTAAAAAACAAAACTCAAAAATTCAAAAACAGACAAAATTTAACCTATGCAGTTAAAAGTCAGAACATCAGAGGCCAGGCATGATGGCTCGCACCTGTAATCCCAAAACTTTGGGAGGCCAAGGCAGGTGGATTACTTGAGCTCAGGAGTTTGAAACCAGCCTGGGTAACATAGTGAGGCCCCATCTTTACAAAAAATTTAAATATTAGCTAGGCATGGCAGCATGTACCTATAGTCCCAGCTACTCAAGAGGCTGAGGTGGGATGACTGCACGAGCCCAAGAGGCTAAGGCTGCAGTGAGCGAAGATTGCACCACTACACTCCAGGCGGGACAACAGAGCAAGATCCTGTCTTAAAAAATAATGGTGAGAATATCGATACCCTTGGTGGGATGGGGTTGTGGGGAGTGGCTGGAAGGACACATGAGGGATAATATTTTGCTTATTGATCTGTATGCTATTTATAGATGTAAATGTAGCATACAGATGTTCTTGTTTTTACAGATATTATCTTTTTTTACTCTCTTTGGAGATAGCATTCAGAAAATCTGAGTGAGTTTGGGACACTTTCTTTTCTATATAGTTGTACTATATAGATTTTCTTTAGTCTCTTTTTTGGTTGCTTTAGTTATTTTGCTGTTTCCTTTTCAAAACTGTTGGACACTTCACTTTGTGATGACCAGGTACAGAGATGACAGCCTCCAAAGTAGCTGGGATTACAGGCACGGGCCACCACACCCAGCTAATTTTTTTGTATTTTTAGTAGAGACGGGGTTTTGCCATGCTGGCCAGGATGGTCTCGATCTTCTGACCTTGTGATCCGACAGCCTTGGCCTCCCAAAGTGATGGAATTACAGGCATGAGCCACTGTGCCTGGCCAAAAACATTCTTTTTTAATATATGAAATGTTCCATAAATTTGCATGTTATCCTTATGTGTGGACCATACTAAGCTTCATATATCATTCCAATTTTAGTGCAGGCATACCTTAGAGATGTTGTGGGTTTAGACCACCATAATGAAGTGAATATTGCAATAAAGCGAGTCACATTATTTGATTTCCCAGAGCATATAAAAGTGATGTTTACACTATGCTATAAAGTGTACAATATCATTATTTCTAAAAAGACAGTGTACACACCTTCATTTTAAAATACTTGATTGCTAAAACAAAGCTGATGATCTTCTGCACCTTTGGCAAGTACTAATCTTTTTGCTAGTGGAGGGTTTTGCCTCAATGTTGATGGCTGTTGATTGATCAGGGTTATGGGTGCTGAAGACTGGAGTGACTGTGGCAATTTTTTTTTTTTTGAGACAGAGTTTCCTCTGTCTCCCAGGCTGAGTGAAGTGGTGCAATCTCAACTCACTACAACTTCTGCCTCCCAGGTTAAAACGATTCTCCTGCCTCAGCCTCCCAAGTAACTACAGATGCGTGCCCCACATCCAGCTAATTTTTTGTATTTTTAGTAGAGATGGGTTTCACCATGTTATCAGGATGGTCTTGATAACCTAACCTTGTGATTAGCCAACCCCGGCCTCCCAAAGTGCTGGGATTACAGGTGTGAACTACCATGCCTAGCCTAAATTTTTGTGTTTTTTTTTTTTGAGACATAGTCTTACTCTTGCTGCCCAGGCTAGAGTGCAATGGCACAACCTTGGCTCACTGCAACGTCTGCCTCCCAGGTTCAAGTGATTCTCCTGCCTCAGCCTCCCGAGTAGCTGGGATTACAGGTACCCACCATCATGCACAGCTAATTTTTTTTGTATTTTTAGTAGAGACGGGGTTTCACCATGTTAACCAGGCTGGTCTTGAACTCCTGACCTCAGGTGATCCACCCACCTTGGCCTCCCAAAATGCCGGGATTACAGGCATGAGCCACCACACCTGGCCAGACTGTGGCAATTTCTTAAAATAAAACAATGAAGCTTGCCACATTGACGGGCTCTTCCTTTCACAAAAGATTTCTCTAGCATGCAATCCTGTTTGATAGCAGTTAAACTACAGTAAAACTTCTTTCAAAACTGGAGTCAATCCTTCTTCTCAAACCCTGTCACTGCTTATTAACTAAGTTTATATAATATTCTAAATCCTTTGTTGTCATTTCAACAATATTCATAGCATCTTCATTAGTAGAGTCCATCTCAAAAGAAACCACTTTCATTGCTCATTCATAAGAAGCAAATTCTCATCCACTCAAGTTTTATCATGAGGTATCATGCAGCAATTCAATCACATGCTCAGGCTCCACTTCTAGTTCTCTTGCTATTTTCACATCTGCAGTTACTTCTTCCACTGAAGCCTGGAACCCCTCAAAGTCATATATTGGGAGTTGGAATCTAATTCTTCCAAACTCTTGTTAATGTTGATATCTTGACCTCCTCCCATGAATCATGAATGTTCTTAATGGCATCTACAACAGTGCATACTTTCCAGGAGGTTTGCAATTTACTTTGCCCAGACCCATCAGAGGAATCACTATCTATGGCAGATATAGCTTTATGAAATGTATTTCTTAAATAACAAGACTTAATAGTCAAAACTGATTGGGCATGGTGGCTAACGCCTATAATCCCAGCACTTTGGGAGGCCAACGGAGGCAGATCACTTGAGCACAAGAGTTCGAGACCAGCCTAGGCAACATAGCAAAAACCCATCTCTATTGAAAATACAAAAATTAGCAGGGTATGGTGGCACACACCTGAAGTCCCAGCTACTTGGTAGCTTGAGGTAGGAGGATTGCTTCAGTCCGAAAGGTGGAGGTTGCACTGAGCTGAGATCACGCCACTGCACTCCAGGTTGAGTGGCAGAGTGACACCCTATCTCAAAAAAAAAAAAAAAAAAAATCAACTACTCAACTGGCTGCAGAATAGATGTTACGTCAGCAGGCATTCATAGAGTTGCTCAATGCAGAGCTACCACAGTCTTCAATTTGTAAAAAAATTAAAATGCAGTATTTGTGAAGAGCAATAAAACAAAGTACAAAAAATGAGGTATTCCTATACATGTGCTGCCAAAGCGAGTGCTATACATATACTTTTCTTTTTTTTTTTGAGACGGAGTCTCGCTCCATCGCCCAGGCTAAAGTACAGTGGCATGATCTTGGTTCACTACAACCTCTCCCTCCCAGGTTCAAGGGATTCTATTCTTTTGCCTTAGCCTTCTGAGTAGCTGGGACTACAGGCACATGCCACCACGCCTGGCTAATTTCTGTATTTGTAGTAGAGATAGAGTTTCACCATGTTTGTCAGGCTGGTCTTGAATTCCTGATCTGCCCACCTTGGCCTCCCAAAGTGCTGGGATTACAGGCATAAGACACTAAGCACGGCCTATATACATTCTTAATCTGGACCAAGAGCAGTATTCAAAATAACTCTGGCCAGGCACAGTGGCTCACACCTGTAATACCAACACTGGGAGGCCAAGGTGGGCTGAGATTAGGAGTTTGAGACCAGCTTGGCCATCATGGTGAAACCCCATCTCTATTAAAAATACAAAAATTAGCCAGCTGTGGTGGTGGTGCACACCTGTAATCCTAGCTATTCTGGAAGCTGAAGCAGGAGAATCCCTTGAATCCGGGCGGCAGAGATTGCAGTGAGATGAGACTGTGACACTGCATTCCAGCCTGGGTGACAGGGTGTGATGAGACTGTCTCAAAAAATAATAATAACAAACAAACAACAAATAACAACTCTGAGAATATATTTCTACCCTGAAGCAACTAAAGCAAGAAATATCTCCTTATGCACAATCATTTTACTTAATCTACGTATCTACACAGTTAATCATTTTACTTATTCTACATTCCAATTATATGATTACATATACACATCAGTATGTGCATACATTCTATATATATGACTCTCTCATACTCAACAAGAGATCACCAAGAGCCTAAATCAAAGAATATCAATAAAACAAACCATAAACTAGGAAGTGGGAGGAAGTGGAAGGAATGGAGAAAAGGGAAGAGGAAGAAAAAGGGAAAAAAGGATGAGGGGAAGGCAGAAGCTAATATTAATAACTATTGAGCACCTACTTTATACACACCACCATTTGATGGTTGCTTCTTGGTTTCCACGCTTTCAGTCATGGCCCTACATCCATTTTTTTACACAGCAGTATAATTATGGTCTTCGTAACCTTGTGTACCCCATCCTGTGCCACTCCTCTCCCTCAATGCTCTGCAGCCACAAGGGCCACTTTCTGTTTCTAGAATGCTCTGACTTCTTTCCTACCCGGACTTCTTTCTCAGGGCCTTTGAATTTACTCTTTCCTATGCCTGAACTGCTTTTCACATGGCTTATCCTTTTTCATTTTTTGAATTTTAACTCAACACCTTCTAAAGGAGTGGCACCCAGACAGTTACCCTCTATTTCCTTTATCACAATCTGAAGCTTTCCTGTTTGTCTAGCTTTGCTCACCAACACCATAGAGGGCAGGGACCAGTAAGTCTTGCTCACCACCCCATCCCCGGGAGTTAGAATGGTACCTGGCGCCTCAGGCATCTGATAATACTTGCTGAATGGACCGAGCCTGGTGGCTCAAGCCTGTAATCCCAGCACTTGGGGAGGCCGAGGAGGGTGAATCACGAGGTCAGGAATTCGGGACCAGCCTGGCCAACACGGTGAAACCCCGTCTCTACTAAAAATACAAAAATTAGCGTGGCGCCGTGGCGGGTGCCTACAATCCCAGCTACTTGGGAGGCTGAGGCAGAAGAATCGCTTGAACCCCGGAGGCGGAGGTTGCAGCGAGCCAAGATTGCGCCACTGCACTCTAGCCTGGGCAACATGGCAAGACTGTCTCTTTCTCTCTGTCTCTCTCTATATATATATACTGGCTTAATGGCTGGTGGAGGCAGATGTTCCCAAATGCATATTAAGGATGAAGACCCTGTGGCTCATAACCGTTAAAGTGACTTGCTCCAAATCAGACAGCGCCAGGTCTGAAACTAGCCAGCTGAGACGAAGTCAAGTAACAACCGGCGAAATGGAAAGCTTAGCAAAGACGGGGTAGCGACAAACACAACCTAAAGTTCCTCCTCTTCAAACACAGGGATATCCCCACCTTTCTCTCCCGCCCTGACAGACCGCGGGGCCTCCCTGCCCAGCCCCTGGCCATACGAGTCCCTTACTAGGTGGGGATGAGAAGACATTTGAGAAGAGTCACCCCGAGCGCCAAAGCCGAAAACCAGTTGCCAGTACCAACCGCAATTGTGAGCGCCGCCATTGCTGCGGCAACGCACGCTTCCTACCAACTTGAGTCACATCCGGGATCCCGCGCATGCGTGGAAGATCCTCTGAGGCTGTGCCTGCGAGCTGCGCGCATGCGGCGAGTCGCGCAGCCAGTCAGAGGACTGCAGTCAGCTATTTAAACCTCCCGCCCACCCTTCCTTTACAGTAGCTTCTCCCTGATTGGTAGGGCTTCATCACGCCTGCGCAGGTCTTTGTAGCCATTTTTAAGTCTTATCAGCTACTTCATACTTGAATTGGAAGAGTGGTCGTCTGCTCTGGGTCATCATTGTACCTAGTATTGGGGATACCTAGGTGAGAAAAAAACCTCGTACGCTAGAGACGTTCGCGCACTAGTGGAGAATCCAGGATTGTTGCCCGAGAGTTACAGTAGATAAGAGTAACTGAGAGTAATGTGGGGGCTCCCAACCCGTACCAACCCTGTACTGGAGTATTAAATCCAGCTAGAGAATGACATTAGCAAAGATACAGAGGTGAAAAATAACTGCGTTTTTAGAACTCCTGAGCGAGGCTCTTGGCTCCGCACCTGCCTGAACGTAACCCATTCTGGAAGCAGGCTGGAGTCTAGTCCTAACGCTTAATGTACAAGTAATCTACAGTTCATGTTAAAATTCGGATTCAGTAGGCCCAACAAACTCTCAGATTGCTTAAAGACTGAGGCACATGCAGTGGAATTAGGCTTGGGTCATTATTTTACTGTGTGATCTTGGACAACCTATTTAAGCTCTCCAAAACCTCAGTTTCCTTTTTTTCAGACAAACTCCGGCTCTGTCGCCCAGGCTGGAGTGCAGTGGCGCTATCTCGGCTCACTGCAACCTCCGCCTCCCGGGTTCAAGCAATTCTCCTGCTTCAGCCTCCCGAGTAGCTGGAATTACAGGTGTCTGCCACCACGCCCAGCTAATTTTTTGTATTTTTAGTAGAGTCGGGGTTTCACCATGTTGGTCAGGCTGGTCTCGAACTCCTGACCTCGTGATCCACCCACCTCGGCCTCCCAAAGTACTGGGATTACAAGCATGAGCCACCGAGTACGGCTTTTTTTTTTTTTTTTTTTTTTTTAAGTACGAGGAGATAAAAATGGGTTCTGGCTGGACGTGGTGGCTCGTACCTGTAATCCCAACACTTTGGAAGGCCAAGGCGGGTAAATCACTTGAGGTCAGGAGTTTGAGACCAGCCTGGCCAACATGGTGAAACCCCCGTCTCTACTAAAAATACAATAATTACCTGGGTGGGGTAGTGGGCACCTGTCATCCCAGCTATTCGGGAGGCTGAGGCAGGAGAATCTCATGAAACTGGAAGGTGGAGGTTACAGTAAGCTGAGATTGCACCACTGGACCCCAGCATGGGTGAAAGAGCAAAACTCTGTCTCAAAAAAAAAAAGAAAAAATTAAGAATATAAACAAGTTTCCAGGCAATCAGAACCCATAAAGCAGCTGCAGTTTGTGAGATTATCAAAATCCTGGCACTCTCCCTTTCAAAGAAACTTGTGGTGGTCAAGAAAGCTTTCTAGTCACCAGCAATGCCCAAAAACTAGAGTAGAATGGACTATTTCTTAGAAAGAAAAGAGGCCAGGTGACATGGTTTATGAAGCACTTCAATAGTCTGCTCAGATTTTTCAGCTTGAAAGCCCCTATACAACTGACGTTTGCCCTTTTCTTCAATGAGTAGATCTGAGACTGGGAGAAATTGCAGAAGAGGGCCAATGTCAGTTTTAATAGGCTCTTCAAGATTATGCTTAGATGAATTAATTATATGTTTTTAGACTTTGGGATGATTGTTTGTAATGTCACTTGGAGGGTAAACTCAAAAATAAATAGGCTAGGTGTGGTGGCTCATGCCTATAATCCCAGAGCTTTGGGAGACTGAGGTGGGAGGATTACTTGAGCTTGAGAGTTCAACACCAGCCTGGTCAACATAGCAAAAACTTGTCTTTACTAAAAATAAAAATTAAATTAAAAAATTAGCAGGCGTGATGGTGCATGCCTGTAGTTTCGGCTACTGGGGAGGCTGAGGTGGGAGGATTGTTTAAGCCTCGGAGATTGAGGCTTCAGTGGGCTGTGATCATGCGCCACTGTACTCCAGCCTTGGCAAGAGAGTGAGACCCTGAAAAAAAAAAACAAACAAACAAGAGAACGAAAACAGTTGGCCGGGTATGTTGGCTCAAGCCTCTAATCCCAGTACTTTGGGAGGCCGAGGTGGGCGGATCACGAGGTCAGGAGATCAAGACCATCCTGGCCAAGATGGCAAAACCCGTCTCTACTAAAATACAAAAAAAAAAAAAAATCAGCCAGGTATGGTGGCAAGCACCTGTAGTCCCAGCTACTTGGGAGGCTGAGGCAGAGGAATCCCTTGAACCTGGGTGGCAAAGATTTCAGTAAGCTGAGATCGTGCCATTGCACTCCAGCTTGGCGACAGAGCAAGACTCGGACTCAAAAACAACAACAACAACAACAAAAAAGTCAAGTTCCAAGTTTAAAATTTTAAATGAGGCTGGGTGATGTGGCTCACCCTGTAATCCCAGCATTTTGGGAGGCTGAGGCAGGTGGATCACCTGAGGTTGGGAGTTCGAGACCAGCCTAGCCACTATGGCAAAACCCCATCTCTACTAAAAATACAAAAATTAGCTGGGTGTAATGGTGCATGCCTGTAATCCCAGCAGCTTGGGAGGATGAGGCAGGAGAATCGCTTGAACCCCGGAGGCAGAGGCTGCAGTGAGCCAAGATCGCACCATTGCACTTTAGCCTGGGCAACAAGAGTAAAACTCCGCCTCAAAAAACAAAAAATTAAAATGAACAGTATTGCATTTATATGCTGTCCTAGATATTTATTGCTGTATAACAAGTTACCCAAAACTTAGCAGCCTAGAAACATTTATTTGTTTTTTTGTTTGTTTGTTTTTTGAGACGGAGTTTCGCTCTTGTTACCCAGGCTGGAGTGCAATGGCGCGATCTCGGCTCACCGCAACCTTTGCCTCCTGGGTTCAGGCAATTCTCCTGCCTCAGCCTCCTGAGTAGCCAGGATTACAGGCACACGCCACCATGCCCAGCTAATTTTTTGTATTTTTAGTAGAGACGGGGTTTCACCATGTTGATGAGGATGGTCTTGATCTGTTGACCTCGTGATCCACCCGCCTCGGCCTCCCAAAGTGCTGGGATTACAGGCGTGAGCCACCGCGCCTGGTGAAACATTTATTATTTCAGAGTTTCTGTGGTCAAGAATTCAAGAGTGGCTTAGCTGGGTCTCTCAGGATCTCTCTTGAGATTGCAGCCAAGATGACAACAGCGGCTATAGTTAACTACAGGCTCCATGGGAGCTGTAGTATCCACTTCAAAGGCCCGCAGAAACCCTCAGTTCCTTGGGCTGTTTGAGTGTCTTCAGGACTGGCAACTGGTCACTGCCAGATCAAGTGACCCAAGAGTGAACAGGGAGCAAGCCACAGTGCCTTTTATTCCCTAGTGTCTGAACGTGCACATCATCTCTTCTGCTTAATTCTCATTGTTAGAAGTTATGCTGGGTGCAGTGGCTTACGTCTGTAATCCTAGCACTTTGGGAGGCTAAAGCGGACAGATCACTTGAGGTTGGAGTTCAAGACCAGCCTGGCCAACATGGTGAAACCTCGTCTCTACTAAAAATACAAAACATTAGTCGGGCATGGTGGCAGGCGTCTGTAATCCCAGCTACTTGGGAGTTTGAGGCAAGAGAATTGCTTGAACATGAGAGGCAGCAGTTACAATGAACCGAGACTGTGCCGCTGCACTCCAGCCTGGTGACAGAGAAAGACTCTTTCTCAAAGAGTTATGAAGTCCAGCCCACAGTCAAGTGAAGGTCAATTAGACTTCACCTTTCAAAGGGAGGAATAGCACAGAATTTGTTGACCTATTTTAAAATGATCGTAGATGTCTTAGCAGCATTCTTAGGATATCAGAGTTATGAGTGTATCTAGGTGGAAAAAACCTAACAAACCAGACTCCTGGGTGGGAGGGCCTTCCATTTATCATGTATCATTTGTGCTCCCCCCATCAATGGTCTTTTTCCCTTTCTGTGCTCTCCTAATAGAGCCCCCAAAATGTGCAGGCCCTGTGTTAGGCCATGGGAATTCAAGAGTGAACAAGACGAGTCTCTGAGCCTACTGGGAGGCTGCTCATTCACAAATCGTTCTAAAATTTAAAAAACCAGCAAGTGAATGAGGACAAGAGCTGCTTCCCCTAAGGACTAATGTATGCTGGCACCATGCTGAGTATTTCTGTTCATTTTATCTTCCTGGCCATCCTTGGAGGCAGGTACTGTGATTTTTCTCAGCAGATGAGGTAACTGAGGCTTAGTCAGGGATGTTAGCTTATTCAAGGACACTCTAAGTTAGGAAATAGGATTTGAAATCAGGACTGTCTAACTCCATTATTTTGCCACTTACATGGTTCTGGCCTTCTCAGAGCTCAGAGTCTCCCAAAGCACATGATATAATCAATTGCTGACAGAATGTGATAGTTGTGACAATTACAGGCATGTACCAGATATAAAGGACACAAATGAGGTAATAATCAAATCCTAAGCCTGCTGTATCACCACCAGAGCCATCTTCTACAACAGGGGTCTTCCTCCTTCCTTCTTCTTTCTTTGTTGTCTTAACATGGGAGTAGAAACCTCCCAACTTTTTTCTTTTCTTCTCTTTCTGTCTTTCTTTCTCTCCCTATTCTCTTTCTCTCTTAAATTTCTCTCTCTCTCTCTGCCTTCTTTTTCCCCTCTCTCCTCTCCTTTCATTTTCTTTTTTTCTTTCTCTCTCTTTTTTTGTAAATAGAGACAAGGTCTCACTGTATTGCCCAGGCTGGTCTTAAACTCCTGGGCTCAAGTGATCCTCCTGCCTTGGCCTTCTAAAATATCAGAGGCGTTCAAACCAAAGCAACTCCACTTTGAATGAGGGCTAGGAAAATGAGGCTGAGACCTGCTGGGCTGCATTCTCAGAAAGTTAGGCATTCCCAGCCTCTAG